GGGGTCAAATACACACAAATATACATACAGTCTGTGGGACCTGGGATAGCAGATGATGCTGTTTGATCGTGGGAGAGGTCATGCAATTGGGCACAACTCACTTAACAATCACCTTGCTTAGCAACAAAAATTTTGGTCCCAATTGTGGCTGTAAGTCAAGGACTACCTGCATTTAGCCAAATTCTAATGGATCTTTTAAAAGGTTCCATATATGCCACTATGAATCATATTCTATTGCTTTTGATATACCAGTTTTAGCTTTGTGAGAATTTTCTCTGACTGTAATGAACTTCAGAATTCTCTTTATTTTCCTGTTAATTGGGTACAATTGCAAATGCATAAATTCAGTAATAGTTTTAGAAGAATAGCTTTAAAAATCAGTTTGGCACTATAATAAAGTAGACACATGGATATTAATACGAAATTATAGTAGTGCATTTATAGAATACTAAATCTGTACAATCAGAATGAAAACAAAAAAAATCCCATATGTTTATCTTTTGTTTGTTTTCATTATACAAATGTCACCTTGTGCTGTAGAATGAAGACAATTTAAAGGAGACCTTAAGAAGAAAGAATATGAGCAATGAATTTTATGCGGCCATTAAATAGAAGAACTTTGAAGTGAAGAGTCACAATGATAAAATTCAAGAATTCAATAGCTTTAGGTTCTACTCTTTATCAAGACCACATAAATAAAAACAAAACTTTTTAACAAGAGATAGTTAAGAGTTACATTATTCATCATGTAATTAATCATTACTCATGATTAAATGAACTATGACCTACTGTAATTGGCATATTAATAAAATATTGAGCTTGGATATGCCAATTACAGTAGATCATAGTTCCTTTAATCATTAAATACTGAATAAATCATGGATGAGTCCATATACAATACTACTTACAGTCTATGCTTTATGAACCACAACTATAATAGTATGGTTATCATAAAACATTAAGACAAAATTAATCAGTTTTGAAATAAAACAGAACATGCATTACTATAATAATGGCTTCAGAATCATTTTTAACTGATTACTATTTTTTTCTGAGTCACTTTTTCCCCCCTCAACATCCACTTTTCTTATCTCTTAAGGAACTATTTTCAGCAATGTTTTATTGAAATACATATAAATGACAGAAAATACTGTACAAAGCTAACAAGAAGAAGTTAACCAGCAGCTTACAAACCTATATTCCCCTAATATATTTCCCTCAGAAATTCACTCCTTTTTTTTTTTTACCATGAAGAGACTTCCTTAGAAAATCTTTATACAAGTCCAGGCTTTTGTGGGTTAGTTAAACTGAAAATGTACCAAGTCTTCCAATAATTTTAAAGGCCATTCATTCACTAGGATATCCAACCCAAACATAAAATTCTATTCCAGTATATTAACATTCCAAGAGATTTTAATGAACTGAAGTATTTGTCATAAATTATGGTATGACAACCACAAATCTCTATCAAAAATCATTTGTTAAAAAGAGTAAAATGTCTCTTTTTAGTAAAAAGAGTAAAAGTATGACAGCTTAAAGATCAGTTCAATAGCTATGAAAAATACATCTTTAAGGTACTAGATTAAAAAAAGAAAATTCACCCAGAAATATCTATCTGGCATATCATAATGGTCATTTAAGAGTGACACAGCAAATGGCCTAATTCTATAACTATGGCTTACTAACTGTTTGCTTTAATTCATCTATGATTACTCCAGGGCAGTCATTCCAAAAGGAAAAACAAGGTGGTGAAAACCAACATCAGACCTGCCCTTAGACAAAAACAATTTTCAACTAGTATATACTTGGTATGTTTTTTTTTAAACCTACACTTTTAAAAACTATACCACCAAAGCACCACAGTGATACACCTAATAAAGTGAGGGTGCTGCATAATTTAAACCAGTGTTTTTGAATCTAGTGCCCTGTATGTTTATTAGGGTTCTTTTTCGCAGGTTTCCACTTATGTCTTGGAAATACTAGTTATATATTCCCAACTCTCCCAGAAAGTCCAAGGTTTAGGAAACTGAGCTATTAAGTGATGCAGCACTCTTTACGCCTCCCCTCTTTCCAGAAACTGTTTTTAGTGGCTGTGCAGTACACAATAATACATGAATATCTCCAAAATATCCTATTCCAGATAATAGAACATTTAATTGAACTAAATCAAAAGATAGTAAAAAAAGGCATTTACTATTAAAATTTGGCAAAATAGCTGATACCAAACCATTAATGAATCTGCAGATTCATGTTTGGATACAAGGGAGGTCATTTAACAACCTTAATAAAAGGATTTCTTGTTTTCAGCAGCAATTTTTATGGCATAAATTCGAGACATCTGCAATAGTACAATTACCTGCTTCTCCCATTAATAGGCTTAAATCTTTTTCTAACTAGAGATAATTTGGGTGCTTGGTCGACAAACTTGTTTTCTGGACAGGTTGCTTTCACAACAATTTTAAAATGATTATGATATGGAGCTCAAGATGGCATATTTTGTTAAGCAACGATAAAGTTTGCATGTAGCTCACAATTTTGAATTCAGGCACCATGGCTTATAAAACCAGTCATGGTTTAGAGCTTAGGACATGTTGTGGTACAATTTATAGTTATTAAAAGCATGTTAACAAACTATGGTTTAATGTAATATATTAAGAAAGTAACATACACGCCAAACTTAGCCACAAACATACTATAGCAGTGTAGATCACATATTGTGCTAGTTACAAAGCGTAGTCTGTAAAGTGCAAAAGGTAGCTTTGTAATATATACTAAGAAAGATCCAAAGAAAACACTTTGGCTCTTGCTGAGTATATAGTACAAAGCTACCTTTTGTACTTTACAGACTGTACTTTGTAACTAGCACAATATGTGACCCACACCATTGTAGTATGTTTACAAACAATGGTTAATGTAAACCATAAATTAGCATTATGCTATCCAGATACAGTGAAGGAAACATCAGTTTCTAATTAACGAACAGCTCATGTAATAGACAATTTGGAATAACAAGTTTCAGATTTCGAATATTAAACTCAGACAACTGACCAAAGGGTGGATGGAGAGGGATTACCCAGAGTTTGTTGAAAAATCCATAGTACCTGATTAAAACATGATTCTTAATTGTTGGGTTTACCCATCATGTAAACAGAGCAAACATATTATGGCTTAATGTGATGTGTGAATGCAAACTAGAACAGTATACTGTAACTTTTTCCACAGCCAATAGTTAATTATGTTACAGTGTATGTGTTTGTAATAATAGTATTAATATAAATATTAATTATGATTGAAGAGTTCAGGGTCAGAGGTAGCCCTCTGTATTTTGAGTCACTATCAATTAATTATTATTCTGCAGATTTTTTTCTTTTTTGAACAACAACAAAAAATCCATTCCAGGTATTAGCAACCACTCCCTTATTTGCACTATGTAGCCCAGAGAGTATTCTAGTGCTCAGGGAGAAAGGTGAGTCAAGGACATAACTCGGTCAGAAGAAAAATTTTAAATTTTAAAGGTACGCCTTTAACAAGCCATAGATTCGCTTCCACACAGTTCTTTTTATATAAGCCCTTTCTCGGCTCTCTTTGGTTAAGGATTAGTCAATCATGGAATAATCAGGATTTACACCTTCAACCAATTCTACCATTTTTCAAACATCATGGCAATTTTCATTAGATTGCATTTTACAGTTTTAATGTAGTTGGGCTGCTTTAACACATCCAATAAATAAAAATAAACAATATTGGTTTGAAGAAAGATTATTTGCTAACTCGTTTCCCTTACAAGTATTATGCAATACTATATTGATGGAATATAGAAAGTATATTACTATCAGCTAAAGGGAGAAACAATCATCACTTCACTAAGAGCAATGCTTGGAGCAATATCCAACAACCTTGCACCCTAGTAAGCCTACCTAATGGATACTACTGACATTTCTAGGGCAATCTTTCTCAGTAGAATAGCCTTGTACAATATCCTTGCAATTTTGTTGGGGCAACTCCTCCCATGGTTCACAGCCAGCATGCTTGGTAATATAGAACGACAATGCCAATACATCCCAGAAAGCAATAAATTGGAGAAAGTTGACCTTATGTCAGGATTACTTGAGATTCTAGTAAGTTCTGGGGAAAAAATGCTGAAAGACATCCAGATAGGTTGTCTTTTGTAAAATTAAGTTAACCGTTTGTCCCAACAGATTCAAGATCTTAAAGACTCAAAATACTATATAGACATTTGCAGCACATTGAGCACTAAATAGTTTAATATTGAGAAAATGAACTACATCTAGTATTCTCCAGCTGCTAAGCAAAAGGCCAGAGCAAGGTGTATATGATGAATGACAACATGGCAAGCCCATTATGAATGCCTCTCTAACCTAAAGATTAGCAGTATAAAAATTCCTAGGAAATTATAGTTAACAGAAAAAAATGTCTAATTCCTTCTAACATAAAAACCAGAAAAGTATGTCGTAGGACAGAAACACAACCCGCACATACAGATATATATATCTGTCTACAAACTGAGCTTCCTGGCTGTTTAATTTGCTGAACTCCTATTACTTATCTATTTGTTTATTCAAAGCATTTAAGCAGCAAGAGAACATAGCCAGTTCACTGCAGACAAGTAGGTCCGTTCAACAAACTACATTCTTTTAACAGTCTCCTACAAAGCCCCCCCCCCCCGAATTAAAACACTCAAGGCTTTCTTTAATAGTTGCTCAGCTCTTTCTTCTCCCATCCAAAGGACGGGAGGGATAAAAGGAAGGAGAGCGGTTGACATTTCACTATCAATTAATAGAAGTATTTCAGAGATGGGAAGCAACTACGGGAGAACAGCTACCCATTCTTTGGAACGGACATATACGGGATAGGCGCCTTGATCCTAGAGGGATACGAATTACAATTTTGCAAAATAAAAGATTACAGCATCTCAGAGAAATAAAATGTGCGTCACAAATGCCAGCAAGATAAGCCAAGCGTAATGTCTTTCCATCTACCTCGACTTCTCAACGACAGCGGCCGCTCCCCAAACCTCTTAGCTACGCGCACCTGTTGCTTCTGCTGCTGCTGCGGCAATAGGTACCTCCGGCGCCAAGTAAAGAAGGAGATAACCACGCCCCCCGACCGAATCTGAGCCGCCTTTTGGCCCCGCCCCGTCATTTTCTAAGCCAAAACGCTTCTAATTCTATAGCGCATGCTCAACCTGTTGCTCTCTCGCGCGCGCTCTCTCTCTCCGCGTATGTGTGCTATTTCATAAAAGAAAGCAACTAAAAGGTACAGTAATCCCCTCTGAATGTGGAACAGCATAATTTAGTGGACACTAATTTATCGTGAGAAATAAATCGTGGGAGAAGTTGTTGCTCAAATGAGCAGCAATAGCTACAATTTCTTTATTTCCTCCTCTTGAGATGCCACAGCACACGGAATTTAACTAGCCAACCACACCTTAGTCTGCCAAACCCAGCCGATGTAGTTAGTTTATGGCTCAGTGGATGAGTGATTGAGTAAACCCATGGACAAGTTAACCATAAACGAGCATGTGATAACAAGCACAGCTAGTAGAAATTCTTGGAAATGATCTCAAATCTGCACTAAAAACGCAAACGATTCAACCCTTTGCATAAGCACAGCAACCTATTGTCCATAAATTGCAAAGAAATACATTTTACAGGACAATTGCGTGTATATTGAAAGGGAGACTCTGAATACTGAACTTTGTTATGTGTGACTGTTCCTTTTAGACTTTTGGGAAGTCTAAAAGCGAATTTGCCCTTTAGAACTCAACAGAGTGCAGTGTAAAGGATTATTTTTTGTCCATAAACAATTAAAGTAGTATTAGTATTAGTATTATTAGTATTTATAGCAACCGTTACCGCTATAATCAGGTCCTTCCACTTTGCTGGTCTTCCTGACACCCTTCCTGGCAATATAGATATTTTAAGAAAGGTTTTTACATCATGTTTCCAAAATATTATACTTCTAACTGAACTTGGTTATTTATGCCTTGAGTGAAGATTGATTTGTCCTAATCCATTTTTTAAATTTTAATCAGCTCTCCAGGGTTTTTCAGAAATTTCCAAGAGCAAAATTTTAAAAATTCTATAGTGTTTCTGTTCTGCTTCTTCAAAGTCCAATTTTTGTTTTATAGAGTCCTCTAGGAAAGCTATCCTCTATATAATTCTGATTTTTGTATAGAAAACTGTGAAAACTGAATACTGTGCTTTTCCCAAGGCTTTCACTACTACTATTCCAAATGTTAGTCTGTGGTCTATTTTTGACTGTGTGGTTTTTTGCTTTTTTTACTATTGATAATGAATCTTAAAGGCGAACAGCTACCCACCAGTGTTTTCACTGTCAGCTCTAAAGCTGGTTTCTGTGCTTGTTGTTATTATCAGAGTAGTGATATCACACCACATAGCATAGGTTATTGATGTTTGTTCCTGCACTTTTAAAATCACACTCATCATCTTCCCATCCAACTCCTTGTTTTGTTGTTTATATATATAATCCTTTGTTTATATATAATAAGGGAGTCTAGAAAGCCTTGTCACATTCCTTTGCCAATTCGGAGCCAGTCTGTTTTGCTGTTTTGTCTGCACTATGATTTCCTGACCTGTGTACAGGTTTTGCATGAGGACAATGAAATGTTCTAGGATTCTTATTTTTCTAGTGCAGTTTTGAATATTATTGATACAATCCTCCTATAATCAGTGAAGCACATGCTAACTTCTTTTTGTCATTTTTTTGCTTTCTTAATTATTCAGTATGCATCAGCAATAATATATATTGTTCAGTGGTCGGTTTCTAATTTTTTTACTACCGGTTCACTCGTGCGCGCGTGCATGATGCTTCTGCACATGCGTAGAAGCATCCAGCTGGGTAGCCGGAGCCTCCTGCCGCCGCTACGACCGGTTTGCCCAATCCGGGCCAATCCGGGAGCAACCCACCTCTGATATTGTTCTCCATCTAAGCCACTTTGAACATCTGGCATCTCTCTTTTTATGTAGTTTTTTAATCTTCCTGGGATAATGTGGTATGTAAAATTAAGAGTATTGTATGACAGTTTATATAGTCTGTCAAATGTTCTTTCTTTGAAATTTGAATGTAGGCAATCATCTTTCAATCTTTTGGCCACTATGTTTTTCTCCAGATTTCCTGGTATAAATTGGCCAGAACATTTACTGATTTTTCTTCTGTTGCTTCTATTTTTCTGTAAATATTCCATCAGTTCCTCTAATCTTTTAACTTATTAATAACCAGACTGTTGTTCTAATGTCTTATTCTAACACTAGAGGTTCTTCTGAGTTTCGTACATTTTCTAAGGCATGTCTGAAGGTTCTTGTGAACATAGAATATTTTCTATTTTGGAATTTGACATTCCTTCTGTAAAGAATTTCAGGATACTCCTTCCATTTTGTTTTTGTTTTCTTTGAATCAGTTACTATCTTATACCAGATATATCAGTACAAGATTTCATTGGACTTCAGCAATCTTTTGGAAGAACATTTCCTGTTTCAATGTTTCATACCTTTAGCAATATAATTGCAATGCTGTTTCTTGTCTCTTCTGATAGCTCTTTAAAATTGTTTGTTAATTCTTGAGATGTTTGTCCTTTTATTTTTATTTTTTTTGCTTTGGTCTCTCTTTCTTTTGCCATTTTCACAATTTATTCTGACCTTTAGTTTGCTTTCCTCTGATTCTTGGTCACTCTCTTTTCACACTCAACCTTTCATTCCATACTTCCTCTTGTCCCCTATCAATGAGTTTCAGGATTTCAAAGTGATCTCTGATGTTATCCTTGAAGTGCATGGATATAATGATATATATGGTTTTAATGATATATATGTTAAAAAGCAATGGTGCTAGAATACAGTTTTATTTCGCCCCCTTGATAGTCTGAATATAGTGGGAAAGGTCCCCTTCTGGTTTCATCTTATTCCAGTGTTGGAAGAAATGTCCTGGGTTCAGTTCCAAGTGGGGAAAATGACACTGGAAACATGGAGGCTGCTTGGAAAGATGGTTTCATGGTGGACAGGTTCACATGGCTTGAGCTCCTAAACCGAGAAGGGGGGGGTCACATGCTTCCAGATGTTGGGTGAAGAATTAGAGAGAGAGAAGAAAGGGCTTGCTGGGTTTTTATACTATGTTCAGCCCCATCTCTGTTTCCTGTTCCTGTGTAAGAAATGTATTCAGACTCTCATGGGGCCATGCATGTTGTCAGACTCTCATGGGGCCATACAGGGGCAACTCTCTAGGCTGTGTTTTGAGTCCAAGTTTGATTGAGTTTCCAGATGCCATGATGTGAGTTTCTGTAGAAGGCCAATCCTACCTTTATTATGTAAAGTAGACTAGCTCAGCCTTTAATGGCTCATTGACAAGGGGCGGGGGCAGGAAGCTCCAGGGAGCTATTCTGTCTTTAAAAACATGTTTCTCCCTTTTTACATCCAGGGAAATATAATATTCTGCCTTCTTAATATTTCCCAGATTATTTCAGTTTTCTAGCAGAGAGGTGGGTTTTAACTTCCTACACCAGTTTTATCGTATTGCTTAGGAATAAGGATAGAGAGATGGTTAGCAGATGTGGTTGTCAATTTGTTCTCTCGGGGTGCTATCTCTGCATAATTGTTTAGAAGGGGCAAAAATTGGGTTGGACAAATTGGTGATTGAAGGAGAAGACAGAGAACAGACCTCCTGCTGCCAGTTAGGGTGGCTAATCCTGAGTCTAGGGTAATTCCATAGGAGACATTTCATAGGCAGAGCAAATAAAACCAGATTGGGGATCAGAATCAGACAGCTGGCCACTCCTATGGAAATAATTCAGTTGCAAGTTGCAAGGAAGAATAACAAGTTGTAGATGATGCAGCATTAGATTAATAGAATCAGGATCCATACAGGAGGAAGCCAATGGGAGTCGGGCTGTAGTTTGACTAGTCTGATCTTTAGAGTTGTGTGCGATTATCATCAATAGAATGAACATCTGGGAGATTATAAAGGGATAGTGTTACATTGATACACTTTGATAAACCACCTAAAGCTGAAACTAGAAATTCGGGAACAGACTTCCAGTTTGCGCGTTGGGCTATTTTTTGCCCTCCAGAGGCTTCCAGGAAGCCTAAAGCCTCCGGAGGACGAAAAATGGCCTGACACGGAAACCGGAAGTTTGGGAAGGAGAAAAGCGGCCTTACGGGCGAACCGGAAGTCCATTCCCGAACTTCCAGTTTGCATGTTGGGCTATTTTTTGCCCTCTCTAGGCTCCTAGAAACTCTCTGGAGCCTGGGTGGGGAAGGTGAAAAACGGACCTACCAGGCCCATCGGAAGTAGGAAAACAGGCCATTTCTGGCCTCCGGAGGGTCTCTGGGGGCGGGAGAGGCCATTTTTGCCCTCCTCAGGCTCCTAGAAAGCCTCTGGAGCCTGGGAGGGCGAAAAACTATCTTGCTTTGCATGTAATGAGTCTTATCTCATATATTAGTTTCACCTTTTAAGTTGCATTACTGAAATAACTGAACTTTTGCACCATATTCTAATTTTTCGAGTTTCATCTGTAGATGTTAATGAGAGGGCAGAACTGTTTCCATTTTTTAATCAGTCTTACAGTAGATAGGAAGTGAAGCACTTGTGGAACATGGCTCTACTACTGGGAGGAGAACTGGGCTTAAGATAGACAAGATAATTTAGCTATTTGAAATGAATTCAGATCTCCAAAACCAGATGGATTATATCTCATAGTACTAAATTTCATGGCCCAGCTACAAAAGGAAGGGGTGCTGAATACTTAGCAAGTATTGACTTACTCCAGCTACACTGTAGAATCAAGTGAATCTACAAATGATTAATAAAGACAGAGCAAGATGACAAGGGTTTGTCCATTCACATCATTTGTCAGCTGTGACCAGGGGGGCATTTGCCCAGGTTCGCCTGGTGCACCAGTTGCGTCCCTACCTGA